TATATATATATATATATATATTTGTTAATATTTATTTGAACAAAATAATATGGTATTACAATTGTTAGTACTGTATGGTAAAAGCCAACGTTCTTAAAACCGGGCCATCATTAGATCGATTTATTCAACGCTTTTATTAAACATGTTAATTAAATATTGGGATTTTTTTTTAACCTCTCAAACTATGGCGATTTTTAGAGTTGGCCTTACGAACTTTTTTCCTTGACAATTTGCCTCCCATAGTAATAGAAACTCATAATTTGCCTCCTCGATTAAAAACACTAATATGACACAAAAAATTCTTAACTCAATTAACAATAAATTTTAAATTGATCTTTAAAATTGATTTAGGGCTTTTAAAGCCCATGGCGAGGCAAACAAAATGAGGTATAGTTTATCGGTTTATGGAAGTTGATACCTCTGTAATTGATCGACGAAGATAATAGGAGCACGTGCATATAAAAAAAATTCAATTCAAGTTTCTGATCTCAAGATATCCAGGAGAACTCTTTAAAAAGATTGTTCATGGACAAGCAATGAAATCTATTGACAAAGCCGAAGCGAAGGAAGCAATCCATATTGCTTCCGAGAGAAGCGGTAGAGAACGGTTAATGCGTGACGCCTTATAATGACAGACACTAAGTAATCTATACAATCCAACATCGCTTAGTGAGAGTTTCAAATGTGAAGGACCACAAAGTAAAGGCAATGGATCATACCGATTTGCCATGGCTATAGCTAGCAGCAATGGCATTTTTTTTTTCATTTTCTTTTTGACCTTATGCCCTGTAGGGTCGGTTACACTGAGACACTACTTTTTCGATTAGGACGTGTCATTTGAATGCTTGCAGGACAAATTTTCTAATCCGTGAATCTTATGTAAATCCAACGGTTAGATGTTGATCAGTAGTTTTCTAGCTACTGATTAATAGTTAGATTTTTTTTAGGATACAAACCAAAATCTGACCGTTGGATTTTCATAAGATTTATTTCGTTAGAAAACTCGTCTTCCAATCTTTCAAATGACACATTTTAATCGAAAATCGAATACCTTGATTATCAGAAAACTTGAATTGAAATTATTTCTATACATACTCCTACTATTTTCATCGATCGATTACAGAGGTATCAATTTTTAGAAATCGACAAATTATACCTCCTTTTGTTTGTCTCGCCATAGGCTTTAAAAGCCCTAAATTAATTTTAAAGATCAATTTATAATTTATCGTTAATTGAGTTAAAAACTTTTTGTGCCATATTAAAGTTTTCAATCGAGGAGGCAAATTGTTAGTTTCGATTACTATGAGAGACAAATTGTCAAGAAAAAAAGTTCGTCAACTCTGAAAATCGGCATAGTTTGGGAGGTTAATTTTTTTTTTTCCCTTAAATATTTGAACAATTTAAAATTTTCAAATATTTAAACTAATTGATAAATCATTTATAAATATTTATTTTATTTAAATATGTATGTTTATTCATACTAAAAATAAATTTAAATGTTACAAAATTTATTTAAAAAATATTACCGATTCTACCAGTTCGACCTGATGATGATGTTGAATGATTTGCTAACAAAAGTTATTGAAGCGAACTAGACTGATCAATAAATCGCATCTAGTCCAATCCAATTTTGAAAATAATGAGTAATTTATAATTAATATTATTATTATATTTAATTATAATACAATTATAATATTCTTCGTGCGAATTTTACTTTGTTCGGCAAACCAAAGCCAACAAACTAAAGTAAAGATCTGATCTGCACCGTCCACCTATATTGCCAAGGCTCGTCCCCACAGCCAGATCTAAATAGACGCGCGAAGCACAGCGGCGGTTCGTTGGAATCACGTGTGTACAGCGGTATACAGTACGAAACTGTAACGCAAAGCAGGAAAGCCATTGCACCGAATAATTCCCCCATTTCCGTGAGGACTCCTTTCTCACTTTGACACTTCATTTTTTCTCCATGAAAGCCTTGAATCTCTCCAAGTAACCCATCAAACCTATATATATATATATATATTCGTCGGCTTTGCAATTTCCAGTTCACTGAATAATTTTTTATCTCTCAGATTTCTAGATCTTTCGGAGAGTCGTCTGCGGAGGGGTTTAGTTCAGATTTTTCTAGGGTTTTTTTTTCCTGTTCCTTGATTTTGATAGTGTAAATGAAGATTTTGGGTTTCTTGGATTGATGCAAGAATCGATCGGTGGGGATTTCCGATTGATTTGTTGAATGGGGCGCCGGAAAATGTACCCTTGTGCATGTTGAGGTACGAAAACTAGTTGCTTATTCATTTACATATTTTTCTAAACGTAATTCTGAATATTTTCGTGCCCTTTCTTGAATCTTTGCCCAAGACGAAGGATCTTGCCAAATTCGGAGTTTTTTTTCCAGTTAAAAATACTGTCGCACTTGCAGGCTATGTTCACCGATCGCTATAGGTTGAAAATGTTGAAAAGTATTTCTCCTCTACTAACTGGGGCCTGATATCAGTAATCCATCGAAATCTTTAGTAATGGAACCCCAGTTTTTGCTTGATTAGGCTGCTCGCGATTTTCCAAGAATCGGTGTAGTTCACAGCTTCCGATTTGTTGGATGGAGTGTCTGGGAAAGAAAAGGAAAGGAGCGGATGTTTCACCGGTCTGTGAGAACGATGCCGACGAACAAACCCAATTAGCAGTACTCTGGTCACATTTTTCGCTGGGAGATGTTTCGAGAAAAAAGAAGAAATGCAAGGAAATAGTAGTGTCCAAAGCAGCTGATTCAAGCAGAAGTGTTGTTAACGGTGTTGCAACTGCCCCGGCTTGTGGAACCGCTCGGCTGGAACTCCCCAGCAGAGGTCTGAAAAGGAAAATTGGCTGTATCGACACTGCCACCCGCCTGGGTAGGAAGAAGAAGGTCGATCAGGAATATGAATTGACCAAATCATTGGGGCAAGGGAAATTTGCGTCGGTCGTGCTGTGCAGGAGCAAGGTAACTGGCGAGGAGTTCGCATGCAAGATTTTGCGTAAAGGGGAGGAAATAGTGCACCGTGAGGTGGAGATAATGCAGCACCTGTCTGGTCACCCGGGTGTGGTGACTTTGAAGGCTGTGTATGAGGATGTTGAGTCTTTTCATCTGGTGATGGAGCTCTGCTCGGGCAGTCGGTTGCTTGATCAGATGGCTAGAGAAGGACAGTACTCTGAGCGCAAGGCTGCCTGTATAATTAAGGAGGTCATGCTTGCTGTGAGGTACTGCCATGAGATGGGTGTAGTCCACCGGGACATAAAGCCTGAAAATATACTTCTCACTGCCTCTGGACAAATGAAGCTTGCGGATTTTGGATTGGCTGTGAGGATTTTAGATGGTAATACAATATTTTCAACTCGATTATGTTGTGTACGGCACTAGTTCTGCTCTTACATGGCCTATTCATTATTTTTAGAAGAATGGGTTCTTTTCATTTTTATCTCATAACTTTTTTTTTTTTTTTTCCATCTTCTCATGTTCCTCCTTACTACTACGGCTTGGATAACAATTAGATGTTACATTTCGTTTCAGTTGGCGTTCAGGACAGCGAAATGGAAGTATTGCATAATTTTGGCAAATTTGAATATTGCATGACATTTTTCACCCATCTATCCGTTTGACTATCAATTTTGTTATTATTTCAAAATTTCAATTTTACTTGAGTATGATATGGATATTTACCTTACTGGCTTGTAAGTAGGTGAATCCGAAATGTTATTATGTTTTCCGACTCTCTTCGTGAATTGATGGGTTGAGTGTCATTCCTTTTTGTTAACCTTTTCCTTCTTCCTTTGGGTTGTTACTGATATGCTTGTTTGAATTATCACTATTTTTACTTTTAATGGTCAAAGAGAATCAAGTTGTGTTGGGGCAAGCATTCATCCATCTGAAGGCGTCCAAAAGTTGGAAGATGAATAATGAAATAATAAGATAAAATAAAGGCTTTCAGAGTTTGTGCAGAGCAGACTTGGCAAGTTGAAATCCATTTTAGAGAAGTGGAGTCCTGTGACTAAACTATGTCAGGAAAAATATTTAACCTACTTGTAAGTACATTATGAGGTCTGGCAAACAATCAAAGAATGGTTGCCTATGTTAGCAATCAAAGAATGGTTGCCTATTTAAGACTGAGAACATTGTCTGCATCCCGACTCCCACTGATTCTTGGGGAACAAGTATTTTGCTCTTTAAAATCTTTGTACGCTCTTTTTTTTTTTTTTTTTTTTTT